AGCGTTGCAACTGCAAGAAATCAAAGTGTTTGAAACTGTAAGTTTTCTAGCCTTATTTTTTTTTTTGTTCCTTTTTTTCAATAAAGAAGAATTTTTTTAGCCTCTTATTACCCCACTGTGAATTCAAATTTGATTAGGAAATTAGGCTTGATTTGATAAATAGGTTATCAGCCTATAGCCTTCTAAAACTACTCCTTTATATGTACTATTAAGTTGGATTTTGTGTTTTTACTTCTGCTATGTTGTGGAATTCTGATGTAATTCTGGAGAGCTAAATACAGTTTCCTTCAGCTAGTAGGTTAAGATCTCTCCTTGCCCATGAACCATTACCCTTAGTTTGTCAAGATATCCTCCTGTGAAGAATATCCATCAGTTTTGTTATTTTGACTTGAATGTGAATTATTTTTGTAATACCTTGCAGAATATCTAAAGCCCAAGTCTCTCTTTCCATCCTTTTTATTTCTTGTACTTTTATTTAGACTCGTGAATTCTAGCATATGATTTAAGGACAAAAGATTGGAGGATTATATATCTTGAGGAAATGCTTATGATTCAATTCCTTGCAGCTATTGTGAATGCTTTGCTGCTGGAGTCTATTGCATAGAGCCTTGTTCATGTCTCGATTGCTTTAACAAGCCCATTCATGAAGATACTGTTCTGGCAACTCGCAAACAGATTGAGTCTCGGAACCCACTTGCATTTGCTCCCAAAGTGATTAGGAGCTCTGATTCTCTACCTGAAACTGGGGTCAGGAATATTTTCTATACTCTTTTCACTTTGACCAATATTCTGACAAAAACTGATCATAACTTGACTAACTGCTAACCAGCCTATTTCTTTCTTTTGTAGGATGACTCCAGTAAAACACCAGCTTCAGCACGGCATAAAAGAGGCTGCAACTGCAAGAAGTCAAGTTGCCTAAAGAAATACTGTGAATGCTACCAGGTTTTTCTCCTTCCCACTTCGTTGTATTTTGCTTATGCACATATAATCTGATTAAAAAAATTCTTTTTTTCCTTAAAGGGTGGAGTTGGATGTTCCATAAACTGTAGGTGTGAAGGGTGTAAGAATGCTTTTGGCAGAAAGGATGGTGAGTGAGCCCTTCAACTTAAATGCATGGCTAGTTGAAACTAGTGGCTAGCTTTGCCTTACTTTTAATTTTTCTATCAACATTTCTGGCTAAAGTAATTTGATTTGCGTG